TAATATTGAATTTGACTTTATAATAAAATTATATAATAAAATATATTATTAGTAGTCATAGTAGTAGTATTTTCCATGCCTGTTTAAGCTAAATTATATTTTTAACTAGGCCATCCATATAGTCCCATCCAGAGCTCACGTCATTAACTGAGGCAGAAGCAGATCAGAGTGTTAAAAGCGTCATGGTATTTCCCTTTTCAGGACATCAAACTACCAGCGACTGACTTACAGTGACTCATTAACCTGACGCCCCAAACACTATTATAACATACAGAAAATGACATGCTTCAGCTTTAAACCTCATGATCAGGAGAGATTCTTCCTGCGGTATTAAACTACATGTTCCTTCCTGAATTAGCATGTGTTGCGCGGCGTCTGTCCTCACTGCTAACAGACGCTCTGTCCGTCCCTCGTTTGCATGCAGTAGTTGATGATTCAGAGTCACGGCGAACCAGACGCTGTCCCTTTAAATATCCCTGCTAGCTCTGTGTGAGTTGTTGTTGTTGGCGTAGTGTTTTGCGTCGCTCTCTGGCTCCTCCTCACGGCTCTGGGCAGAAGCACAGCATTCAGAGAGAAAACAAAGCAAATGAACGGCCGTGACATGTGTTCCAGGGGTTTGGTGACGCCCATCCTGCTGCTCAACTGAGGTCAAAGGTGACTTCTGCTGAAAGACGGGGGTGTATCAGTCATTTCAAAATTTTGGATTAATTATGATGCTTTTAATGTTTTTACCAGAAGTCTCTTCTGCTCACCAAGGCTGTATTTATTTGATCAAAAATTGTGAAATATTATTATAATGTAAAATAACTCTTTTCTATGTGAATATATTTTCAAATGTAATTTATTCCTGTGATGCAAAGCTGAATTTTCAGCAGCCTTTGCTTACTTCTCAAGGATCATGTGACACTGAAGACTGGAGTTAAAGATGCTGAAAATTCAGCTTTGATCACAGAAATAAAATACATTTTAAAATATATTCACATAGAAAATTGTTTTTTTTTATTGTAATAATATTTCACAATTTTACTGTTTTTACTGTATTTTTAGTCAAATAAATGTAGCCTTGGTGAGCAGAAGAGACTTCTGTCATTAAATATGAACTATTCCTTATAACTTAATTGGTACAAACAACTGGAAAAGGTAATACATTTGCATATAATAATAATAAATGAAATATTTTGAAGTTTGTCTAGCATTAATTTCTTCAGGTGTGAAACTTTTCTTTGCAAATGGAGACAAATGACTTGGTGACTAAAACGACATCAAATGATGTTTTACATTTACATTTAGTCATTTAGCAGTTTTCTGTGCTGAACCCTCATTGACGTGCTCATCCATCCTCTGTTTCTCTTCCTTGTCTAAAGGTCATCTCTCCAGACTGTCACGAAGATGTGACATTGAAGAAAGACAACGTTTTTGTTCGCTCCTTCAAAGATGGAAAATTGTGAGTAACTTTCAAATGAAGTTATTTCTGTCTGTGCTTCTGCTTTTAGCTCTTGAGGTGCAGAAAAGTCAAGCTATGAAAACGTCACGTGTGCTTTATATAGCTGTGTTTTTACACAACATCCTTTAAACAGAAAGCAGAATGCTAAAGTAGGGAGAGACGGAGAATATTGTAGTTAAACACCCATCTCAGATTAACCTCCTGAAAGATGAAACCTGTGAGAACCGCCGTTATACAGGTTGCTTAGTTCCTCCTTCAATGCATTTCTGTGGGATTTTTGTTTGCGTTGCATGCAAACGTTTAATATGGCGTATTAGAGTTTCTCTTTTTAATGAGCAGCTGTAAAAGTCGTGCATTATTTTTGTGAAATATTATTATAATGTAAAATAACTCTTTTCTATGTGAATATATTTTCAAATGTAATTTATTCCTGTGATGCAAAGCTGAATTTTCAGCAGCCTTTGCTTACTTCTCAAGGATCATGTGACACTGAAGACTGGAGTTAAAGATGCTGAAAATTCAGCTTTGATCACAGAAATAAAATACATTTTAAAATATATTCACATAGAAAATTGTTTTTTTTTATTGTAATAATATTTCACAATTTTACTGTTTTTACTGTATTTTTAGTCAAATAAATGTAGCCTTGGTGAGCAGAAGAGACTTCTGTCATTAAATATGAACTATTCCTTATAACTTAATTGGTACAAACAACTGGAAAAGGTAATACATTTGCATATAATAATAATAAATGAAATATTTTGAAGTTTGTCTAGCATTAATTTCTTCAGGTGTGAAACTTTTCTTTGCAAATGGAGACAAATGACTTGGTGACTAAAACGACATCAAATGATGTTTTACATTTACATTTAGTCATTTAGCAGTTTTCTGTGCTGAACCCTCATTGACGTGCTCATCCATCCTCTGTTTCTCTTCCTTGTCTAAAGGTCATCTCTCCAGACTGTCACGAAGATGTGACATTGAAGAAAGACAACGTTTTTGTTCGCTCCTTCAAAGATGGAAAATTGTGAGTAACTTTCAAATGAAGTTATTTCTGTCTGTGCTTCTGCTTTTAGCTCTTGAGGTGCAGAAAAGTCAAGCTATGAAAACGTCACGTGTGCTTTATATAGCTGTGTTTTTACACAACATCCTTTAAACAGAAAGCAGAATGCTAAAGTAGGGAGAGACGGAGAATATTGTAGTTAAACACCCATCTCAGATTAACCTCCTGAAAGATGAAACCTGTGAGAACCGCCGTTATACAGGTTGCTTAGTTCCTCCTTCAATGCATTTCTGTGGGATTTTTGTTTGCGTTGCATGCAAACGTTTAATATGGCGTATTAGAGTTTCTCTTTTTAATGAGCAGCTGTAAAAGTCGTGCATTATTTAACAAACACAGATAATAAAATCTCAAGCTTCATGTATGAAAATCTCACAAAACCTTATATGTGACCCTGGACCACAAAACCAGTCATAAGGGTCAATTTCTCGAAATTGAGATTTATACATCATCTGAAAGCTGAATAAATAAGCTTTCTATTGACAATATTTGGCCGAGATACAACAATTTGAAAATCTGGAATCTGAGGGTGCAAAAAAATCCAAATATTGAGAAAATCATCTTTAAAGTTGTCCAAATGAAGTTCTTAGCAATGCATATTACTAACCAAAAATTAAGTTTTGATATATTTATGGTAGGTAATGTACAAAATATCTTCATGGAACATGATCTTTACTTAATATCCTAATGATTTTTGGCATAAAAGAAAAATCAATAATTTTGACCCATACAATGTATTGTTGGCTATTGCTACAAATATACCCCAGCGAATTAAGACTGCTTTTGTTCTCCAGGCTCACAAATATAGTCTACTGTTACACTACTGTTCAAAAGTTTGGGGTTTGGGGATTTCTTTTTGTTTTTGAAGTCTGTTTTGCTCACCAAGGATTCATTTATTTGATTAAAAATTCAGTAAAATTGTGAAATATTATTGCAATTTAAAATAACTGTTTTCTAAGTGAATTTATATTAAAATGTTATTTATTTCTGTGATCAAAGCTGAATTTTCAGTGTCACATGATCTTCAGAAATCATTCTAATATGCTGATTTGCTGCTCAAGAAACATTTCTGATTATTATCAATGTTGAAAACGGTTGTGCTGCCCGATATTTTTGTGAAAACCGTGATGCATTTTATTTTTCATGATTTACAGATGAATAGAAAGCTCAAAAGAACAGCATTTATTTGAAATAGAAATCTTTTGTAACATTATAAATGTCTTCACTGTCACTTTTGATCGATGTAATGCGTCCTTGCTGAATAAAAGTATTAATCTCTTGTACTGTAGCGCATAGACATCATTTAACAATGAAAGGCTTGTGAATGGGTTTCTGTACTCGTGCAAGCGCTCATCTTCACTGCTCCCTCTAGTGTCTGGCACAGTCATGACATCTCTGCCCCATGTAGATTTATAAATATATTAATGAACAGAGGCATGTCTGCTAGCTAATAATGACCTCAATAAAGGTGTTTGGACACTTCAGGACATCTGTGACTTCATATATCCACTAAAAACCAGCAAAACAGCAGCTGATTTAAAGCACTGAGAAAACATCTGCAGAGTTTCAGCACAGATACAGTAATAAATGACGTGTAGATATTTCAACTGTGATTTTTAGGTGTCCAAATACTTTTAAAGGGATGATAGACTTACTGATTGGTTGTTTGCCTGAACAAAAAGAGCCGATCTTCATATCTGGTGCTGAGAAATGGCCTGTTGCTTGATTACATAACCGCTGTTTTCCCAGAATAAAGGTTTTGTTGGTAAATTCGGTGCATTTTTAAAGAAGTCCCTCTGGAAGCAGTGTGATGATGCTGATTTGATGTGGATGTCTGGAATAAATTCTTAAACTGTCACATTCATGTCTTTGCAAGCATATTATACAGTTAAATGCAATAAGAAAATTCCGTAGATACTCAATGGTACTCGTAATGGATTGTAAAGTCAGAATGCTGTTTCATACGGCAGTGTGTTGAAATATGAGCAGTAATTAACTCGGAGATGACGGTGATTTATTATGTGTTCTCTCGTATGTAATGAATCACTGCTGACAGTGTTGTATTTTGTCTTATAGTTACACAGTTTTGCGGAAAGACATTCGAGAGCTGAATGAAGAGAAAGCTCCTAAAGCGGACGCAGGACTCAAACCAGGTGAGAACAAGTGTGACGCATGGGTCAGTGTGTATTCAGGGCAGGGGTATAATTATAAACTATAAACCATAAAGAAAACAAAACATTTCCATTACTTGAATATATATATATATACATAAGTTGCCAAGGCAACATTAGTATTAAAGTATTAAAATAGCTAAAACTAAATCAAATAAAACTACAAATTAAAAATATATAAATATTTTAAAAACTATTAATATTTATAAATAAAAAACATATTTAAAAATTAAAACTAATAAAAATGAAAAACAAAACAAAACTCAAAAATGACCAAAACTTTAAGTAAATTTAAAATGAAAACAGAAAATACAACAATAAAATTCAAAATATTAACAAAACCGGTAATAATATTTTATTTTATCATCTGAAATGTGCTGTTGCTTATATTGCAAAGCGACTTATATAATGAAGTTAGCATAAAGCACACAAAACACATGCTGAACACACACATTTAGAAGTTTATTCGTGTAACGCATTTCCCACACGCCGCTGCTTTCAGTTTGGCTTTAAATTAATTTGTTTAGGCTTGCCATTTATAGTAAATGTTGTTTATAATGAATGCCACTTTAATTTATGTTTGTTTTATACTTACATTTTTCATTCATGTTGTGTTCTGGAATTTGAAAAATTGAAGGGAAACTGAAATACATGTTTATAATGTTTTGGTTTTATTTACATTGCACTTTGTTATTTCTGAATGTAGTAATATAATGTCACTCATACACTGATGCAACTTATGTTTTTTTGTTTGTTTTGTTTTTCTTTTCTCACTCTCAACAATGCAGTTTTGACCCGGTGTACAGAATATACATATTTTGCAATAAATGTAAAATATATTTTTTCTATATACATAATTAACATCTTTAAATCAATTATTTTTACATTTATCCAATTAAATTTTGTAATTTGCAAAGCTTCATGGGATTGTATTTCTTTACATCATTAAAGCGTTATGTACTAGGGTTGCAAAAAGGTGGAAAATTTCCAGTAAATTTCGGAAACTTTCCAAAAATCCCTGGAATATTCCAAAAAAAAAATCCTGGAAAGTTTCCAAAATTTCTGGAATTTCCAGGATTTTTTAGAATATTCCATGGATTTTTGGAAAGTTTCTGGAAATGTTCCACCCCTTTGCAACCCTATTATGTACACAGTCTTGTATCTAATGTCTTGTATGTTTTTGCTTCAAATTAAAGTTTGAAGGGCCGATGAAAAAGAGAAAAAATTTCCAGTCACATGGAGCACACTGTGATCTCATTGTCGCTGTTTGTGTGTTTCACAGCGTTAGATGCAGCGTGGGATTTCCAGCGTAACCGCACTGTGCCCAACACGTGGAGGACGGAGGGGAAGGATGAAAGCTCCAGCAGTGAGGATGATGAGGAGGAGGAGGAACACGAGGAAGAGGCCAGCAGCGAGGAGGAAGAGGTGAGATAGAAACTCGCCGTTCTGAGAAGGAAAGTCAGAAATGTGAGTAAAAACTAAAAAAAGTAGATTCCGTGGCAGAAACAAAAACAGAATTGCAAGATGTAAACTCAGAATTCTGAGAAAAAAGAAAATCGGAATTTTGAGATAAAAATTAGCAAAAAAAAAATCTGTGTATCATTCGTTCTGTTGATTTAATATTGAAAAAAGAAAAATGAGAAAACAGCACTTTTTATGTTTTTCACTTCTTCAAAAAAAAAACATTTAAAAAAAACAACGATTCGACTTGATTTTTCGTTTTTGCGTTCAGAGGTAGAAAATCAATAAACGGCTTAAATATTCGATCTCCACACATGAGCGGGAATGAAACGCCCCTTTCTGCTGATTGGTCAACCAAAGATCAGTTCTTACAGAGAATAAAAGTCCTCCGCTGTATGGATTCTTAAAGCGTTTATTACAAATACATTTCTTCTCTTTCTCATCAAACGACCAGACTGACAAATTAATTTTCTACCTCTGAAAGCAAAAACGAAAAATCAAGCCGAATCGTTGTTTTTCGATTATTTTGAACAAATGAAAAACGAAAAGGCACCATTTTCTCGTTTTTCTATTTGCAATATTAAATCAAAAATCAAATGAACGAATGATACACTGATTCAAAAACCTTTTTTATGTTTTATTGTGTGTCGGAAACCAAAAAAATAAAAATCAGAATGAATTCAGAGGAAAAAGATATAAACTAGCAGTTGTGAGTAAAACTAGTGAAATAAAAACTGGAAATTACCATTTTATATTTATTTCATGCCAGAAACAACAAAAAAAGAGAGAATTGTGATATGTAAACTCAGAAATGCAAGAAAAAAGTCGGAATTCTAAAATAAAAACTTGTAATTCTGAGGAAAAAATCTGAATGTTGAGTTCAAAAATAGCAAATCCCTTTTTATTCTGTGGCAGAAACAAAGAAACAATGAATTCTGAGAAAAGAAAGTCAGAATTGCAAGATATAAACTCGCAATTCCAAATAAGAATTGTAAAATAAAAACTTTTTGTGAGATCTAAACCTGCAGTTGTGAGGGGGAAAGTCACTTTGAGATAAAAAGTCACAATCACCTTTTTATTTTTTATTCTGTGGCGGAAACAATAAAAAACAATGAATTCTGAGGAACCAAAGAAGTCAGAATTGTGATTGAAATCACCTTTTTTATTTTATATTTAGTGGCATAAACGAAAAAACAATTGTGAGATATAAACTCAGAATTTGTTGTTGTTGTTTTTTTACTCTGTGGCAGAAACAAAAAACAAACAAACAAAAAACCAATGAATTCTGAGGAATGAAAGTCAGAATGGTGAGACATAAACTCAAAATTACCTTTTTTATTTCATATTTCATGGTCAGAATTGAAGAGATGTAAACTTGCGATTCTGAGGTGAAAAAGTCTGCATTTTAAGATAAAAAGTCACAATTGCTTTTTTTCTTTTTTAATTCCCTGGCAGTAACAAGCTTCCATAAAACTCTGAATCTGATTGCATTAGAGGATCTGCGCTGATGCTTATGTAGACGTGTGCTGATATAGAGGTGCTTTCACTCAGCCGTTTGCTTACCTTGATTTGTTGACCACAAAATATCACCTTTAGACTTTGAGCAGCTCGAAAACACATCACAGCCAGACAGTTTTCATAATGGTACTGTAACGAGCTGTTTTTTCCAACAAGTAGCAACCAAACATTGCATGGCTAATGTTCATCTCATGCTGTGCGCAGCTTTACGAACGATCCCACATGAAAAAATACTATAGTAATTTATAGTAAATACTATAATATATACAGTATAATACACTTTACTATAGTATGGTTCAAAAACACTACAGTATTTACTATAAATTACTATAGTATTTTTTCATGTGGGATCAGCTGCTCTTTGTTCTCTCTCTTGCAAATGAAGCACTGAAAGGTCCGATTCATTTAAGTGGATCACTTCATTTAATTGAAAGAGAAACTGAATCTTTTGAGCCCTCGCTCACCATTTTATGTTTGTGTTGTGCATCAAAATAATTAATCAGACCCTGTTAATTATCCTTTTTTTTCAGCCCAGTTATTTTGATTTGATTTGTTTTGTTTGTGTTATTAGTTCTATTGTATACAATACTGTTAAAAAGTTTGGGTCAGTAAGTTTTTTTTAAATTTTTTTTTTTTTAAGAATTAAATACTTTTATTTGGTAAGGATGCATTAAATTTATCAAAAGTCACAGTAAAGGCATTTTATATTGTTACAAAATATTGTATCACAGTTTCCACAAAAATATTTGTCAGCACAACTGTTTTCAACATTGATAATAATCAGAAATGTTTCTTGAGCAGCAAATCAGCATATTAGAATGATTTCTGAAGGATCATGTGACACTGAACACTGGAGTAATGATGCTGAAAATACAGCTTTGATCACAGAAATAAATTACAGTTTATCAGATACTCACATAGAAAACAGCTATTTTAAATTGTAATAATATTTCAGAATTATTATATTTTTGATCAAATAAATGCAGCCTTGGTGAGCAGAAGAGACTGTCTCCTTAAATAGCTTCAGTGTAGGTAACTACTTTTGGTTAGTAGCTTGCAGTGTGGCTAACTAGTTTTTTAAAAGCCTCTGAATGACACCCAACTCTCTGTGTTTGTATTTCCTGTACGCAGGAGGAAGTAGAGCCGTTCCCAGAAGAGAAAGACAACTTCCTACAGCAGCTTTACAAATTTATGGAGGACAGAGGTGAGCAGTGTTATTTTAGTATTTTTTAATGCTATTGTAGTATTTATTAACATTTTGCTTTTATTTTTAGATTTTCAGTTTTTGTTTTAATTTTTGTTTATTTTAGTCATTTTATGTGCTTTTGTCATTTAAAAAAAAAAATCTCTCGTTTTAGTAATTTTAGTGCTTCAATTTTTTTTCAGTTATTTAATTTTATTTAATTTAATTTTATTTAATTTTATTTAATTTTATTTAATTTTATTTAATTTTATTTAATTTTATTTAATTTTATTTAATTTTATTTTCCGAAAATTATTTGTTAATAGTTTTGCTTAACAAATACTGGAGGTGAGAGGAATGCATGATGATATGCATATCTTGAATGCAATGTAAGTCGCTTTTGATAAAGCATCTGCCAGATGCATTAATGTTTTTTACTTTTAAGCTAACTAGCTTCTTTACTGTTCTGCTCAGGAACTCCTATCAATAAGCGACCGGTGCTGGGCTACAGGAACCTGAATCTTTTTAAACTCTACCGGCTGGTGCATAAGCTCGGAGGATTTGACAATGTGAGTTTTATTTGTGATCCTCCCCGTAGAGCTGAACGCTGGCACAGTCTGCAGTAGCTTTGACTCGACGTGTTCCTCCCTGTGTTTCAGATCGAGAGCGGATCTGTCTGGAAGCAGGTGTATCAGGATCTGGGCATCCCCGTGCTCAACTCCGCAGCCGGTTACAACGTCAAATGCGCCTACAAAAAGTACGTACATCCTTCATCAGCCCCTTTCACAGAGAGACAATGACAGCGACAGCAAACCGCGAGCTGCTCTTAGTTATTGTAAAAAAGCTTGCAAAGAACAAACACTGAATGCATCTGTTCTGTCTGTTAGCGCAGAGCTGTTGCAAAAAGTGCCACACGTCTTCTATCCAGAGTGATCGTTGTTGTGTACTACTATTAAAACAGTTTTATTAATTCAATTAAAGCTGTAAATATTAGATGAAAACCTTCAGTTCAGTTATTTGCCAAGGCAACATTTATAATTTTTGTTTAGTTTAAGAAGCACTTAAAAAACTGATAATAATAAAAATAAAATAATAAAACATATTATAAAAATATAAATACAAATATGTTCAAATTGAAGCACTAATTACTAAATAGACGTAAAATAAAAACTACAACTGATAATAGTAAAAATTGTAAAAATATATATACTGTTTAAAAAGTATAAAATAAAAAACAAACAAAAAAACCCTAAATCTAAATATTTGATGAAAAACTTAAGTTTAGTTATTTGCCAAGGCAACATATATAATTTTCATTTCGATTAAGTTGAAGCACTAATTACTAACAATACATAAAATAAAAACTAAAACTGATAATAATAAAAATTATAAAAAATAAAATAATACGAAAAATATTAAAATTACAAATATAAAAAAGGAAAAAATAAAATAATTAAAAAAAATAAAAAAATGAATTAAACCTAAATACTAACATTACTAATAGTAAAAATGACAAAAGTGCAAAAGTAAATTACTAAATGTAACAAATTCAAATGAAAACTGAAAGTATAAAAGTAAAAGCCATTTCAAAATATTAATAAAAACTGCAATGGTATATAAATAATACTAAAACAACGCTGCCCCTCTCAAAGCCTATAGCACCAGCAGCAGTTCAAAGTTTCATGCTCATTTTAGCTTATAATTTTTAACCAAATTGCTCAATTTGCATTCTGGTTGAGTTATTATTGACACAGCTGTTAGCAGTTAGGTGTTTAATGGTGCAGTGATGATAAGTTGACCACAGTGTTAATTTCGTTGACTAATTTAAATTTCGAATGACATTTTTTTTCACAGACGATAACGAACTAAAACTCTTTTTGAATGACAAAAACTATGATGTAAATCTATTGACATTTTCGTCAACGATTAAAAACAAGACGAAAATGTTAGGGAGGGACGATTTGGGAAGAGATTCATTCAGAACGAATCTGCTGCGTGGCTCGGAGGTTAGATGCGTACATATGAACCGGCGGGACATAAGCTAACATACACTTGCTGCACGTAATTTGCTATAAAGAATGCATAATTAGCCTATATAACCATTGGTATTAAGACCATGTTCTTGTTCTTTATGAGAAGTGGTTTTATTTAATTTTAACATAAAGGCATGTTGTGTGTCACCGCAGTTAAATCAGTGTCTATCATGATAATAAAACCTTAAAATCAAACCTATATAATGAGTTTGGAAATTTTAGAGAAATGCTTAATAAATGCACTGTAACTAAAACCATTAGATTTTAGCCGACTATATTTACTGTAGATTTAGTCGACTAAAATATTTTGATATTTAGTCGACTAAAACTAAAAACAATTCAGATGACTAAAATATGACTGAAACTAAATGGCATTTTAGTCAAAAGACTATGACTAAAACTAAATCAAAATTTGCTGACAAAATTAACGCTAGTTGACCATATTATTACCATCTGATACCATAAGACGACACCATGAATCTGGTTATTGGATGTGGTAATCTGTGATGCTGAACCTCCTGCAGGTACGTGTATGGCTTTGAGGACTACTGCGCCTCCACGAGAGTCACGTTCCGCATGGATCTGCCGTATAAGACGGGCGAGAAGACGAGCTCAAAGAGCGAGGTGAACCCGGAGGAAGCGGTCAGCGGCGGAAACGCTGTCTCTTTAAGCACATCCAGCGCAGGAGAAGAACAGAAAGCCATCAAAGAACCAGAGACCTCCAGCAGCCCACACGTGGTCAAGGTACTGGAGCATCATCATCTCAGGGTGTGTCTGATATATGGCAGACTACTCATATTACCCATACTGCATCTGTGCTGCATGCATCCAATACACTCATTATCTACTACATTTGGCAAAATATGCAGTATATTGTCAATGATACTTCACATCTTTTTTTAATCAATTTCAAATATTGCATATATGTGTGTGTGTGTATATATATATACAGTGGGTACGGAAAGTATTCAGACCCCCTTAAATTTTTCACTCTTTGTTATATTGCAGCCATTTGCTAAAATCATTTAAGTAAATTTTTTTTCCTCATTAATGTACACACAGCACCCCCCCCTGACAGAAAAACACAGAATTGTTGACATCTTTGCAGATTTATTAAAAAAGAAAAACTGAAAAATGCTCAGTATTTAGTAGAAGCACCCATTTGATCTAATACAGCCATGAGTCTTTTTAGGAAAGATGCAACAAGTTTTTCACACATGGATTTGGGGATCCTCTGCCATTCCTCCTTGCAAATCCTCTCCAGTTCTGTCAGGTTGGACGGTAAACGTTGGTGGACAGCCATTTTTAGGTCTCTCCAGAGATGCTCAATTGGGTTTAAGTCAGGGCTCTGGCCGGGCCATTCAAGAACAGTCACAGAGTTGTTGTGAAGCCACTCCTTCGTTATTTTAGCTGTGTGCTTAGGGTCATTGTCTTGTTGGAAGGTAAACCTTAGTTCCAGTCTGAGGTCCTGAGCACTCTGGAGAAGGTTTTCGCCCAGGATATCCCTGTACTTGGCCGCATTCATCTTTCCCTCGATTGCAACCAGTCGTCCTGTCCCTGCAGCTGAAAAACACCCCCACAGCATGATGCTGCCACCACCATGCTTCACTGTTGGGACTGTATTGGACAGGTGCCTGGTTTTCTCCACACATACCGCTTAGAATTAAGGCCAAAAAGTTCTATCTTGGTCTCATCAGACCAGAGAATCTTATTTCTCACCATCTTGGAGTCCTTCAGGTGTTTTTTTAGCAAACTCCATGCGGGCTTTCATGTGTCTTCCACTGAGGAGAGGCTTCCGTCGGGCCACTCTGCCATAAAGCCCCGACTGGTGGAGGGCTGCAGTGATGGTTGACTTTCTACAACTTTCTCCCATCTCCCGACTGCATCTCTGGAGCTCAGCCACAGTGATCTTTGGGTTCTTCTTTACCTCTCTCACCAAGGCTCTTCTCCCCCGATAGCTCAGTTTGGCCGGACGGCCAGCTCTAGGAAGGGTTCTGGCCGTCCCAAACGTCTTCCATTTAAGGATTATGGAGGCCACCGTGCTCTTAGGAACCTTAAGTGCAGCAGAAATTTTTCTGTAACCTTGGCCAGATCTGTGCCTTGCCACAATTCTGTCTCTGAGCTCTTCAGGCAATTCCTTTGACCTCATGATTCTCATTTGCTCTGACATGCACTGTGAGCTGTAAGGTCTTATATAGACAGGTGTGTGGCTTTCGTATATTTTTATATATACATTTTATACGTATTTTATATTTTATATTAAAAAAAATTTATATATATATATATATATGTACACTTCCAGTCAAAACGTTTTGAACAGTAAGATTTTTTATGTTTTTTTAAATGTCTTCTGCTCACCAAGCCTGCATTTATTTGATCCAAAATACAGCAAAAGCAGTAATACTGTGAAATATTATTACAATTTAAAATAGCTGTTTTCTATGTGAATATACTGTAAAATGTAATTTATTTCTGTGATCAAAGCTG